AGGTATCTTCTTTGTCAAATGTAAACTTTCACGTGTGGGAGTCGTGGTTTATTTGCCCTCGATTGTTTCTTCTCTTACTTTTTTTTGGTAAAATAAAAATTATCAATTTAATTTTATTTCTATAAGATAAAAGAACCATAAAATGAAACTATTTTGATTTATCCCCGCATGATCAGCTACCATTAGAAATAAAGTTTTCATCCTTATAAATATAAAATATATAATTTTAAATACGATCAACATATTAAAATTTATTAAAAATAAGAAAATAGATTTTATTATTATATTTTTATTTATCTTTTTACTTTATGCATAAGATTTCTTAACAGGTGTGGTTTTATTGAACAAAGATAATATCTTATATATATGTGTATATATGTATATATATATATATATCAATATATTCGTACATTTTTTTTTTTCAATCGTGTGTGTATATATAGTTATAGCTAGTCTAGACCGAATTGGTGCTAAGTCTTGGTAGGTTGACTGGTTGAGGAAAAAGCCATGTCGACTTGAGAACATATGAAAGGACTGTGGGAATAAATCGACTAAAGTCAGGAAAGAACGGTCTGTGGCACGGAAGGAATGACATAAGCCACTGGTGAAGGCGACCTCTAGAATGACACCGGGTACCCTATTCTTAGATGCCTATAAAGAGGACCTAGTCTATTGCGACCTATTAGCACTTGAACCGTGTCAAACACCAAGAGCGTAGGTTGAGTAAAGGACCTAAGGAGGAACCAAAATGGATCTATTAGGAATAAAAAGGGATATAATGAAAGTGATGATAACATTAAGATAAGATAGAACGTCTGGTACCCCATAATCGTTTCGGGCAGACTGATCGAGGCAGTTAGACAAATCGGGCAGCCCAATCTTGGGCACCATGACATCCCTTATAAAAGGAGTTGCGGTATCACTGTAAAATCTCTAATGCTCTACATATTCTCTGCTTACAGAACTTCTTATTTCAGTGCTAACACCGGGAGATCCTCTCGGCCCCCAGTATATAGAAGTTGCAAGAGATTAAAAACAAATCAAGATCAAATCAAATCAAATACTAATTACCAATATAACTACTATCAAATCAAGATCATATCAAACCAAAGATATCTTAACAAAATAACTAAAGTCAATCTTAACACCCCGCCTCAAGTTGGTGCATGAAAATTTCGAATGCCCAACTTGGTTTAGGGCGTGATTGTATATATTTTCTACAATAAATATTCCACTCAAAACTCAAATTTAACTCAACTCAACTATCTCCAATATTATAAATATAATTAAATAATATCAACCAATCATTCTTACACATCACATCAACTTTAATTCACTATTCATCCACTCACATAATTTTAATTAACTATCATTTTTAATTATTTTATCCTACTTTTACATCAATTCAACTTTAATTATTTTAATTTAAATATTATTTTAATATATCTACTAACAACTAACCATACTACATTTTTTCAAACTTAACTATAGTTTAAAAAAACTAGTTTTTTACTAGTTGAATTCATATCCAATCACCCCCTTAGAAATTTCGAGAAATCATGGCCACCCAATGCTTTTGTGAAGATGTCTGCTAGCTGAGCATTGGTAGAAACATAATCAGGAGCGATAAAAGGACCGAAGAATTGAAGGACAGAAGACCAAATGAAATGATCAATTGTATTTAATACCCAAAGCACTAAAGAACCGAAGGACTGAATGACAGAGGAACAACCAAAGGACAGAGGACCAAAGGAACAGAGGACCGAAGGACTTGATCAGTTGTATCTAATATCCAAAGGATCGAAGGACCAAAGGACTGAAGCACAGAGGACCAAAGGACTTGATCAATTATATTTAATCATTTAAGAACCCATCTAATGTAGGAGAAACTGAAACATCTAAAAACCAGTTTTTTTTTTTTTTTTTTTTTTTTTTTTTTTTTTTGTCGTCCCCAAAGAGCAGTCCGGAGAAAAGAAGACGTGAATGAAGAAAAGAAAAATATATTAATCAAAATAGCGGTGGTAAAAAACCATGGCTCTGATACCATGCTAAAACTAAGAGAGAATGCATAGAGTAGAGAAGAGAAAGATGTGTATTTGTCATTGCTTGTAATAGTGAGATTACATCCAATATATAGAAGTTGCAAGAGATTACAAACAAATCAAGATCAAACCAAATATCTAATTACCAAAATAACTACTACCAAATCAAGATCATATCATGCCAAAAATATCTTAACAAAATAACTAAAGTCAATATTAACAATTGTAAATATAATGTTGGCTCGCGTCAATGGTGTTGGCTTGCGGTAGTGATGAATCTAAATGAAAGATTCATACTTGTAAACGGCGTGGTCGTCAACGGTGGGATAAAATAGTGGATTTCAAATGATTAAGTTTGCAGAGTCATTCAAATCTTTCGAAATAATGACTAAAGTATGTCTGACGTAATTTTGAAATTCACCAACTTCTATTATCATTCAAAAATGTGTAGGGATTTTAACTTGTAAATATGAAATCTATAAATTTCAAATACTTTGATAAATCACTCAATCCAAACGTAGCCTAAAAAAATCCATTTTTTATAGTAATCATGCTATACTAGTACTCGCCCGTGTATTACACGGGTGCTTGCTAATCTTTTTCTTAAAATCTAAAATTAATGAGAACAAATAGTAGAAAATTTAAATACCTTTTACAAAAATATATATTATTATATATTTAGTATGACACTTTTTTATTTGTGCGACTTACCTGTGTTATATTATAACAATTTTTTAACTTACAACATATATACTAGTCACTTAGTCAATTTCTTATTTTTTAACTTTTAAAATACATTTACAATTCAATAGCTAATTGAAGGAAACAAATCAAAGTCAGGGATATACTAGTCACTTAGTGTCTCACTATGTAAAATTACAAAGAATTAAAGAGTTATATTAGTACAAGTGATATTAAAATACCTAAGTTAGATAAATGGAGTTTTTTCAATACAAGACCTGAAAGATAGGTAAAATATCAATTTGGGGCCTAAAAGATTTTTTTTCTCAATTCGGGACCTGAACGTTATAAAACTATCAAATTAAGTCCTACAATTAACAACACTCATAAAACCATTAAATTGAGAGTTAATTTTAAGTTTTAAAACACTAAATTTGAAGAAAAATAAAAGATTGTTGCTTACTCACATAAAATAATTAGTAAACATTTGCATAATATTTAAAAAAAAAAAAACATATTTGGTGTTTTAAAACTTAAAATTAACTCTCAATTTAATGGTTTTATGAGTGTTGTTAATTGTAGGACTTAATTTGATAGTTTACCTATCTTTCGGGCCTTGTATTGAAAAAACTCATAGATAAATAATATTTATGGAATGTCTGAACCTAGATTATTAATTATTAATATATCAATATTATATGTCCAAACCTAATTACAAAGCATGATTTTTTGTCAAGTAGGATTCCGAAACACCAGAAAGCAGTCACGTAGACTCAGCGCATTCGGGAATTATATATAGGGAGGATGACCGGCTTCATATTTTATGGGTGAATACCTCTAAAGTCGATTTAGAAACTGCAACGAAATTGCCCTTTGGATAGTTAGTGGGTAACACCGACATTCATTGGTGAGAAACTCCAAATGAACAATTAACTACTAGAGAAAACATGAGTTTCAATTATTGATCAATCGGTCCAAACAAATCAAACTTTTGAAATTTACGGCATAAATGAGAAGGAATAAAATCAAGAATCAATATAAAATAAACAAATAAATAACTAGAATCGTGTTATGAAAAAATACCCTAAGGTAGTGCTTGGATATAAGTTTTGATTGGATGTCCTGGTTTTTATGGGTATATTTGATTAATCAGAGTTAATTTTAAAAGTTGATTAAGTTATGTTTAAGTAAAAGAGTTTGTACAAAATAAAATAATTAAAGTTGATTTAATGTAAAAATATGATAGATATGATTGAAATTGACGAGTAATTAAAAGTTATAATACATTATATATATATATAATAATGGTAATAAATGAAAAATTATTAACTTTTAAACCTACTTATAATGTAAGTTAATAAAGTTTTACAAATTTTAAAAGAAATATAAGAAGAAAGAAAAATTAGAAAAAAAAATAATGTCTTATAAACCACATCTAGAATATGAAATTTAACATAATTAATACTCTTAAAAAAATCAATATTCAATATTTATGAATGTTCCTGACTTGGTTATTTTTTTTATTGGAAGTAATTAAAATTCATTCATGCCAAATAACAAAGAATGGAAATTCGTCACATAGGATCTCGAAGCATGCAAGACTCCACAAGGCTTCGCACATTCAGAAATTATACATACGAGGGATATTGAGAATGTTTTAAATTGAGTTAAATTTAAATAAAAATTTGAGCAATCTAAATCAAGCATCAATTAGAGTGTGTTTGTATATCAAGTAACTCAATTCATATCCAATTCATACTCCAATTCTAACTAAACTCAACTATCATCGATATTACTAATATAATTAAATAATATTAACTAATTATTTTTGCATATCACATCAACTTTAATTCACTATTCACATCAAAAAATAATTTTTAGAGGGGACTAGAATTGTTAACTTAAAGGAATTATTTGCGATTATAATGCGAATTGACCTGTGAAAACTCGAGCAACTAATCGAATTTGCTTATTAAACGAATCAAGTTTACCCTCGTTTTTTGTTCGTTTATTTAATACTCAAACCGAGCCAACACATTTATAAACAACACGAGTTTGATCATGAGGTATTCATCTCGACTCCAATAACACCTCTAAAAAAATATACAATACTTAATAAGATCACACTATATATGCATATAAGGCATACAGTTGCATTCTAAATTCGATACCATAAATTATAAAAATATTCTACAATAGATATAACTTTTCAAGTTAATATTTTAGATATGTGTTCAACATTATTTCAAACCATACTCATCCACCATTGACTATATACTAATTATTCTAACAATTCCTTTTCAACCCCTTATTTTCATGTTTATTCAATAACGAATTACAATACGAACAATGTCATAATATATTTCAATACTAGGGTTGTAAACGAGCCGGGCCGAGATCGGCTCGGCTTGGCTCGTTAAATAAACGAGCCTAAAATCGAGCTCGAGCTCGACTCGTTAAGGCCTCGACCTCGAGCCTCAACGAGCCGATCTCTAGCTTTAATGAGCCGAACTATAAAAATTATATATCTATTTTCGAGCCTTAACGAGCCTCATTGTGCCGAGCCGAGCCGAGCTCGTTTAATTTAACAGCACTATTCAATACCCACTGTTGCACGGACATATGCAGACGTTATGCCACCTGAAACACACGGCAATTGATCTCTTGTATTATGACCTGAAACAGGTTAGATTCATCAATTTGGAACCAGTTGACTAACAATGCCAAAAGTCAAAACTATAGTCAAATGTAGACACAAGCCAAACAGAACTGAAACAGGTTAGGTTCATAGTTAAGGTGCATCATTTCTCAGTCAAAAACAAATTACATTTACTAAAATCATGATACATCCATCGCCTTCGTTTAAAATTCGAAGGGCCACGACTAGCATCGATATTTCATCACTTGTAGTTATATTAGAATCCCCATTTGCTTTCATCTTTTTTTTTTT